ATGTCTACGTTATTAGTATCTACATTAACTTATACAGCTTAGCTGTGAATTGCGAGAGGTGTGAAGTTAACTGCCACACTCCTGATGACGTATTGCGTCTGACAAAATTGTTGCCTGAAGGTGGGACAGCCTAGTACCTCGCTTGACGTGGACCCGGTTGCTGCAAGGCAAGTAGACTAAAGAAGCTTTCTACTCGCCTATTAATAATACATCCTAAATTAAAGGAAATGCTCCTACTGAATATAGCAATCACTGTAGAATTTGTCTACAGGTATTAATGCAATATTTAATTCTTTACAAATTAAGACTATTGCTAAAGAAGAGACGTACTGGGTTTTTGTTGTAATTAAATGACCTAACGAAAATTAGTCTAAATGTTAAATGTGCACACAGTATAACAAATAGAAAATTTTTAGTTGCCGAGCCGCGTGTCCGTCGGTGGAGAGAACGATGCAATCCTTTGTCCGCAGCTGCTGTGTGAAGGACGTTGACATCGGATTTGGTATCACTCTGGTTCCAGGACACGGCTAGTGATTGCCAATTTAACGTGGCAACGCTCGTGTAATTGTAAGAACGAATAATTAAACTAAGCAAACTCTTTGCTACAGTTTTGTCTCTCACTTGCAAGTTATTAATATGGCGTCGCTCGTCGGAGTCGGGCGACGCCATAAGGTGAGCCATATACGTCGGGCGACGCAAGCAAGTGATGTCTCCTTCTTCCCTGGCTGTGCTACGCATGCGCTGCCCGCTCAAAGTATTTTATTTTTACTTGCAGTTAATTGGGAAGGCAAGGACTGGTGACAAGTGCTTATGTCACTAAATAATGTATTAAGGTGCAATATATTTTTGCACAATGCATGTCAGCTTATTAAGACTGCATAAAGAAATATCATGAATTGCTTTACTTTGCATTATTTTCCACTATAGATGTTAATAGACCTAAATGAACGAATTCAGTAAGTAATAATATGTTACGTAAATAATCAACTAAATAAACGATTATCCTTAGTAAGGGAACGTAATTAACTAAACTCTGTTTAGATGCAACTAAATGTGGAGAGATTCATGTTTTAGCCCGTAGCTACCTCGCGGCGTCATTGAGACTGTGGCAAGAATTTGGCAAATATTGCGACCAATGTACTGAAATTGAGAATAACATGCATATATTTTATTTCTGTAAGCAGAAAGTTGTTCTTGTAAACTGGATTAGAGACACTCTTCAAGGTTTATGTGGACCAAGTATTAGAGTGGAGTTAATGAGGTTTTCAATGTTTCATATTGACATAAAATGCAAGAAAATTAGGAATACAATAATCATGTTACTTTCTGATTACATTTTTTGTGTGTGGATAGGCAGGCAGGAAGATTACTCAGTAGACAAAATATTGAAATTCTTGCGAGGCAGGATCAGGTATAACATTTGGGGTTTAAGGCTCATGTTCGGTGATGATTTGGAAAATTTGTTTACTGAGAATTATATAAAATATATACAAATGTAATAAAATGTAATAAAATTATAAAAAAAAATATTGCGTCGCAATAAAACATTAATTGAATTAGTTCTACAAATTAGTAGAGTTATTAATTACTATGGTTAATACAATAATGATGTATTGTAATACAAGAAATGATGTATTAGTGTTGGAAACTTTTTTCAACATGGGGAGTCTGAGAAAGGTGGTTTGGTCGAGATCTGTGAGGTGGTGAGTGGGACAGTGGAGTTTGTTGTATATTGCATGGCGTTGGTTGCTTCATTTTTTGTGGGTTCAGAGACCGGGGCCTGTTGGTGTGGTGACTGAGTTTGCGATGATTGTTCAGGGTTGGATGCGAATGCATCATCTGGGATTGCGACTGTAGGTAGATTGTTAGCCATCAAAAACTTATTGATTGTGGTGGAAAATAATTATGGGTTATTACGTGCAAATCTTGCTGCAATTGCTATTAGGACCTGTACCGAAGCATCAGAAGGCGCCTATGACATTGACGTTGTTGGGTGAATTTGGCCCACCCAAGCATTATGCTGGTTAGGTAAGGATGTCTGCTGAGAAGCCTGGTTTGTGGTCATACTTTGACCCGGCATGTTATGGAATGTTGCAGCGTTCATATTTGGTGTCGTCTGCGACTGGTTAGGTTGTGAGGTTTGGGCCTTGTCAAGGATTTTCTGAATTGCTGCTTTCCTCATTGGACACAAAGGAGATATTGCTAAATGTCCACCTCCACAAAGGGCACATTTTCGATTGCCAGGTTGGGGACAATCCATAAATTTATGGTGTTCAGCACAAATGCTACAAGTGCTTGTTGTTGCAGGACACTTGTTCACCACGTTGTCGAACCTGAATCACCGTAAGCATTGCTTAATATCAGTGAAACGTTCTTTGAGATTTGTTCAGGTGTTGATATGTACCCAAAGCACTTAAATCCCTGTTCAATCACCTGGGTAGCATGGCAGTAGTAGCAAACGTTATCTTTAGAGTGGGGCGTGGGTTGCCTTCTTTGGTGAGTCTGTGTATTTGTATGGCTTGTTGCTCATTGATTCTATTGATTTCTTCACGTGTTTCATCGTCGCTGTGGTCCCTAGCTATTTGGCAATTGAACCGCAACACAAACACAGTCCTCCTAGCTTGGAATTTGCCAGTAGCAACGGGAATTACGTCCGCTGCATGGAGTGCCGACGCTTTATCAGGATGTAGGATTTTTTGAAGGTCATCTTCAGTTGGAAGCAAAGTAATTACCCCATTGGTTGTATGATAGGTTTCAACAGGTGAAACTTCAACATGGGTGCCAAGAACATTGGAAATCTGGGTTTTATCAAGTTTATAAGGTTCAACGAACCTTGTTTTAAGTATTACTGGCATGATGATGGTGGTAGCATGATTGGTGGCTGGTAATAATGGCTCGTGAGAGTGAAGTTTTAATGGTTAGTCGAAATCCTAGAATGGCACAAAGTGTTCCTAATCTTAACATAGCCTAACCATGCTACAATGGCGACACAGTTGCCCCGACTCTTTGCGTACCTTGAGGTTACCTTGAGGTGCTTCTGGGGCTTAGCGTCCCCGCGGCCCGGTCGTCGACCAGGCCTCCTGGTTGCCGGACTGATCAACCAGGCTGTTGGACGCGGCTGCTCGCAGCCTGACGTATGAATCACAGCATGGTTGATCAGGTATCCTTTGGAGGTGCTTATCCAGTTCTCTCTTGAACACTGTGAGGGGTCGGCCAGTTATGCCCCTTATGTGTAAAATGATTTACGTGACCAGATTTACTACTGATTGGCCGTGGTACTTGCGCAGAATCAGTTACATCAGGTGGCGAAAGAGTAGGAGTAGAGTAACAGATCAGAAAGATAGGGGTTAGTACATATAGATCAGTACAAAACGGTGCAGTGGGGTGATGGTGGTGAGGTGGGGGTGGGATGAGTGGTGAGGTGAAAATGGAGAATAGTCGATGAATGACGTGTGGGTTGGGTGGTTGGGTTGAGGAGAGAAGGGTGAGGATGGATTGGAACAGTGGAGGATGTGGAGAGTAGAGGTGGCAGGTGGCTGGCTCAGAGATGGCGGTTGGCGGCGCCCCTCCTGCCGGCTTGCTGGCCAATAACTGACGATTTCTTCTTGGCCGTTGTTGATCTTCCTTGTTTCTTGCTATCTGTTGGACGTAATCAACTGCCGACAACCACACGGGTCTCGAATCAGAGACAGGAGGTCTAATGGCTTCTAGAAATGAAGAGCGGCTGTGAGACACATCTGCTCTCGACGACGACTGGCTATAATGCATCGTGATCTGTAATCGTAATGTTCAATTCTATGTAAAAAAAAAAATAAAAAAAAAATTAAATATAAAGAATATCTTTTTCAGTTTTATTAAACAATAGAGATTTTATACAAAACTTGAAAATATCCTGAGTAACTTAATAATTTATTGAAAGATTTTGGTTTTATAAAATTGTAATATCAATCTAGCTATATGTTAAATACTAATTGTAATTAAGAAGCAATAAATGCTATTTACATGCTTGTCTTCCTACACTCCTAAGGATAGGTCATGGTTTTCTATTCAGTTTTTCAGGTAAACTCTAATATTCACAATACTTAGGTTCGATGCTGGGTCTTAAGTGTATTTATGTACTATGCTGATAGTCAGTATTGTATTTATAACATTTAGTATTAAAACGTACTGTTTATTCGGAGCAGGAGCTGGATAGTGTTAAAAATGATTTTTTACTGGGGGATTTCCAATGTCTGACACTTCCCTTGTACTATATTTTTAAATAAAATAAAAATTATACATTATAAGCAATTGTTATTAGTTTAAGAGATGATATATGCAGTTGTCTTTTAGTTTGAGAGACGAGAATACATAACTCTCCCCACCCCCTTCCCCCGAATATAATATTGTCATCTAAAAGATTCCCAGTTGATTACCTTACACTGCCCAAACATTATGATTGTTCTCCAAAGTTTATAACAAACATCACCTGTTCGGATCAGACAGGTAATTTCTTGATCAGATTTTTTTTCCAGAGGATTTCACATCTCTCTCTAGAAGCACTTATGCTCACAACTTTTTCAATACAGTATGAGGAACTATGGTGTTGGTGCCCTAGATGATTTTCGGTCAATAACAGCTTCAAGCTTCCCAGTTATATACAAGACAGGCACTTTCTGAGTTATATACAAGACGTGCACTCTCCCAGTTATATACAAGACAGGCACTTTCTGAGTTATATACAAGACAGGCACTCCCTGAGTTATGTACATATATATATATAGAGAGAGAACAATATTTTTTCATGCATAACAAAGGCATGGGAGGATGAAGTAATATTACATGGGCCCCAGTTTTCAAACTATAGGAACATGGGCAATAAAAGGTTTTATAATTTCTCTAACGTAAACAAAAACATGGAATTATGAAAATTTTATTGCAATACAAAAATAGTAGAGTAAATTTAGGTATCTATTCGTGAATGTTATTTATATAAACTGGTTTTTATTTCTCGTTTTCAGCTACACAAGCGAGCCAGGTGGAGAAAGACGCCAGAACTGTGCCGTCATTTTCGCAAAGGATCTTTATCTTCACGACATAGAGTGCACAGAAAAAGAGGCACCTCTTTGCCAGTTGAAAACAAGAGATAGCAATGTTAACACTTTGCAATGATTTTGCAACAGAAAAGAAGCAAAGTCCTAATCCGAATGCAATCATAGACATTCAAAACGCAGAAAAATATTAAGCGTAAACCAAGCTGTAAGCTTAATGTAGGGCTTATGCTGCACATGCAACGCTCTAATTAACTTAATATGTTTGGTCCCCTTTTTACACATATATATATATTATCAGTAAATAATTTATGTTTGTTGAAATTAAATCCTAAAATATTTATCTAAATTACGAAAGTCATGGTTCGTTGATAAATTCAAATACAAGTTTCAATTTGTCTCTTAATCTGCACCTTGCGAGACTGAAAATTATCAACTTCTTTAAAGAACTTTATCCAGTTACATTTTAACTTGAGCTTAATTTTCTGCAATGAACAAATGGTAATTAGATAATATTTTGTTTTTAAATATGTCAGGAAAATCTGTGAGCTCCACTTTCTGTACAACAAATTTAACATATCTCATCACTCTATACACAGTTCCTTAGAGTATATAAACTGAGGGCTTACTCGACCTACATATCAGGACTAAAGTATATTGCTGATTGACCAGTTAATTTTTTGTAGCCTTATTAGAAATCCAGAGGTTGATGGGACCTGAGTCAACACCAAACCAACTTGAGTAATCAATCAAATGAAACCTCTTTTTTATATTAACACATTTAGGTACATCTGCGTTTGTGCAGCTGCCCTAGACTATATGAAGGGGAGTACAGTGTGTCAAAAAACTAGCTACGTGATGCTTAAAAACCCCATCACACAGGCCTCATGTACAGCCTCAACACACGTCCAACATTGCTCTTAATTAACCAACTATTCCTTCCAATATATATACCTATTTGAATATATTAACTATAGAAACACAAGTGTAAAACTCTGGGGTATCTACTGAGTATGTGCAGAAATGAACACAATGTATATTTCTTTTTTTCATCTTTCCATATATTATTTTTTTGTTTCCTCCAGGCTGATGCCTTCCCAGGGAATGGAAGTAAGAGTTCTGATGATGGTGAATGTTGAAACACTTTTGCAATATATTTGTGCAGTTCAGTAAGTTGCTCCAGCCACTATGTCAAATGCAGAAATGCAAATCCGAAGCCCTTATAGACACCTCCTATTATATCAATTGACTTCATATTTCGGTTATATCTTACACCCAGGAGGTTGGGCATTGTGGGAAATATTTTCCACTTACGACGTAATTGACTGCACAATAAATTTATATATTAATTGTAATTCGTCCTCTGTTAAGCTTACAAGACTAGCAGCGAATCAGTAAACTTTAAAGTAATTAATTATGAGGATTTACTTTTGTTATTACAATATTTACTTATTATGATAATATTAAGGGCTGATGTAACATTAGTGATGCTAGGCGCCTCAACATCATCACGAGGATTGTGCAACTGAATTATCACTGTTAAGACTCATGCATGAATAGTACAACGGAGATATATTCCAAAGCTTTACATATTATTCCAGTTAATATACTTAATCCGATCGTGTGATGATTTGAATTAAACAGCCCCTCTCACGATTAAATAAGTATTAACTGGCACAAGAATGATGGAGGAGGACTGGCCATATTGCTTATCGAAAGAGCATGCAATCAATACGAGTCTCCACAGTGAAGCCCAAATTTCTGCCACTACTCTGCTTATCTCCCATAAAGTTCATTGACTTACTTTTGGGCAATGTTTGTCTCCGTCTCATGGTGTTGTTCCTTAATATTATATGATGGCCAACTGTTGTAACTGGGTTTGCGAGATGGTTAAGCAGCAGGAAAAAACAAAATCTCAACTAAGAACCTTAGCTTAATATAGTCATTGCATACTGAGAATTAATAAATAATTACTAAATTTGTAAGTGTTGGTATTATTGCTTGACTCCTCAGCAGGAGAACTGAAATCAACATCACTGTGTGATACATGAGGCTGCCCATAAATTAGAAGGTTGCTATGTTCTATGGAAGACCACTTCAGACTAAGCTGTCTAGGAAATCACTAGACAGATGAGACAAGTTGTATTAACTAACCCTATTCTGATAGCACAGGGTTTAATATACAACCAAATTAATTTAATTTACCTTAAACTTGAATAACATTAAACTAACACAATTCCTCTATAAAAATTACCACTTACACTATAAATCCCCCACTATGGGAACTGTGAGAAATTTACTTAAATTACAAGAATCAACAAAAATAATGGCACCAATCCTAATCTGCACAATTATCATAATAATAGTAGTTAATGCCAACCCGTAAGTATGGATCATATTATACACCATTGACTTGGATTGTACTGAATACTCTACAATCTAGCCTTTATTATTAATATGTGTGCAGACTTACAAAGAGTGGGATTTCTATCGACAAGAATTGTGTTGCACATTTGCAGTTTGTTATCTATACATATTATATTTGCTTATATTTTATTATTATTATTTGACATACACATATGTTCCACTTTGAATAGTAAGAAGAAAGCTGTTCCAATGGAGGGTGATTGAGAAGAGCTAACCTAATGTATTTCTTGCCACACCATCCTGATTGTTCAAGTCCTGCTTTTTCACTCAAATTAACACACAACAGACACTAATTATACATCACTTTGACAACAAATTGACCTCTATTCGAAAGACAAAAATATCTACAACATGTTCGTTGTATTATAGATTTGTAGTGAGTCAGAAAGGTCATGTGATCAGGCAACTAAACAAATGTGAACAGTTTGCACAATCAACAACTGTGACTCCTAAACTACTCGAACCCCCACAATGTACTTGCAAATGAAAACTGCAAAATGCTGCTGAAGCAGCAGACAAAAACGTTCACAGCCTCTTTGAGGAGAAAATACTTGCAGACCGACTAGACAACTTCCTCGCCGAAGTGGCAAAGTACGAGGAAGAGGTCCATGATCGTGTACCCACGATCATGGAAACTCCTTGGGAAACATCCCAAGGAAACCCCGGAATCTCTGTTCTCTCATTACAACACCGACTTCCTCCCCCTTGACAAAATCTTTAAGGGTTTGAGAATGATAGTCAACTGTCTGAGAGCACATAACCAAATCATACCAACAGAAAAGTCTTCAGCTGACAAGTCTAAACCAGAGAAGTCACTGAAGCCTAAACAACCTAAGCCACATTTTAAGTGGAATAATGACAGAGTGCGAACCTACACTGCTTCCCCCAATAGAATCTGTCGTTACTGTAACTCTTCCAAAGAAAGAATCAATAACACTGGCAAGAGGTTATAAAAAAATTTTTTATGTGATTAAGATTTTATTTCTCAATGCCTCAAATTTCCAGCCTGTGCCATTCGGACTAGTCATTTGCAAATACTGCAAAGGTGTACGAAGTGCCTGTGGGTCTTACGCCCCTAGCAGCTGCGAGACAACGCTGGATATGTGTCGAATATGTGGAAAAGGTCGACATCACACAGCTATATATGCCAAAGAAGAACTACTCCACCGTCATCCGGAGCTAAACTTAAATTTACAGCAGGAATCAACTACTGCCAAGCAGAACGCAGTTCAGGGACTATGTTGACCCACACAAACACTGCTGCATCCCTACCAACAGCCATGATAACTCAGGGTAAAATATAACCTCTGATCAGAAGGCCGCTTATTGAGTGTTCACAGAAAACTCTTGTCTTCCCAGAGGGTGGAAGAGTGAAATTAAAACCAGTAATGCAGGTCACCCGGAACATATTAGGGGTTTTTAACGAACAAACGACCTGAACTTTACAACATAGTAAAACCATATGTTCGTTTGGCAGGTTTCCTAAACCTGTACTCGCTCTTGTCATGGACAACATTTCTTCTGACATACACATGCAAATTTTAGGGACCTCGATTAAGCACTTAAAACAAAAAGGAATAAATTTTACTGACCCCCATATTAAATCTGACCATATCAACGATATTGGAATGTTAATCGGGTCAAGTTATTATCATAAATTCATATCCAGAAACACCAATTGCATGGGATGACCGTACTAAACTTAGTTGGTGGGAAGTTGTTGACTCGACCTGTGGTAAGGTTAAACCAGTCCGAACCTGCCGAAAGAGTACAAACCGAAACTGTCATAGTTGGCAGAGTAGGACTGTCACAGTCTCTCCTCGAAATTACCCAAAGGAAAAAGGAGGGACTGTAACAAACCAGAAAACAAACTCTGGGATCTGGATCTTCTATCATCAAGATCTGAATTAACTGATAGAAGCAGAATTTCCTGATAATTAAGTGTCTCATAAAATTAAAAGCGAATTTGGTGTTCGATGGGAAACTCAAACAAATTTAATATTAGTTGATTCAATAACTACTGAGACTGGCAGTCTAACTAAGAGGAAACTGCTTTCTCAAGTCAGCAAACCCATCGATCCCTTAGGACTACTTAGTCCCATAACTATGAATGGAAAATTGTTGATGTAAGAATGCTGTTTACTCCGGCTGTTTAAGCATCTATTTGTGAAATGGTTAAGCAGCAGAAGAAAATAAAATCCTGAGTAAGAACCTATGCTCAAATAGAGTCATTGCTTACTGAGAAATTATAAGTAATGACTGAATTTGTAAGTATTGGTATTAATGCTTGATTTCTCAGCAGGAGAACTAAAATCAACAGCACTGCATCACACATGAAGCAGCCCAGAATTTAGGAGGTTGCTCTGTTCTCCGGATGACCATTCTCCGGATAAAGATAGCTGTTTAGGAAACCAATAGGAAGGTAAGATTAGTTTTAGTAACTTTATCTGAATTAACACTAACACTATAAACCCTTCTCTCCCATGGTGGGAATTGTGGAAAAATTATATTTACGTCCCTGGCACCAGACAGCTGGGTGGACAGTGCTTCGGATTCGTAGTCCTGAGGTTCTTGGTTCGATCCCCGGTGGAGGTGGAGATAAATGGGCAAAATGTTTCTTCCATCCTGATGACCCTGTTACCTAGCAGTAAATAGATACCTGGGAGTTAGACATCTGGTACAGGCTGCTTCCTTGGGGGGGGGGGGTGTAACAAAAAGGAGGCTTGGTCGAGGACCAGGCCGCGGGGACGCTAAGCCCCAAAATCATCTCAAGATAACCTCAGGATAACGTATGATGTAAAGTTCACTGTAACTTACTATAATATACAGTCCACTTACTAACGAAAAAAAATAAACATAGCCACATAATCCTACTAGCATATCATCACCTCGGACTGGGTATAACATCTATTATCACAAATTAAGCTGAAGGGCAAGGCTACTAATATTAATATTATTACAATATAATCCCTTTATAATATCACCTTTAACATAAGCATATTTTAAGTGGCTTAAACGAGTAACCATTAGCATTCTATGTGTGGAGTTTCTCTTTTAATTCCGACTGCAATGCGTGCAGCGTCACCAATGTGCATATGGCAGATGCTTCATGAAACTGTCAGCAGAGAAAACACGAGAGCAAACATACAGGGCCTGGGAGCACAGTTGAGTAAGAGTCCTTGATGGTCTCTTCTCAGACTAGCCTCAACTGTTCCTGATCCACGTTGGTCGTGGGAATCTCCTCATTGCTTGAAACACTTTAAGGGACTCCTAGGGTCCTCATCACATTTATATAGTTTTGTAAATAATAGGCAACTCGGTATTGAAGACACCTGGAGCTGAATCTTAGGAAACGATAATGGCAGTATTTAAAACTGGTTCAACGGAAACTCCGCATAATGCTTAACAACAATTTATTTACTAACTTAACCTGTAATACAATGGGTGCTTGATTTACTTTAGATTGGCGTCAGCAAGGCTATTATCGCGTTAGCGAGACTATTGCCTTATTAACATCTAACTAATTGATTTTGATTCACTCATGGAAAAACACTAACTCAACACAATTGACAGCCAATCACTAACACGGCAAACCTAACTGCCGGTGTGCAAACAGTCACAGGACTTCCAAACAAGACACTCAGGCTATAATCATGCACAATAAATAAACACTAGCACTGTCAATGGGACAGACAAAAACTATGCACAATAATTGTCACTCAATAACTAAATGTGTGGTGTATATGAAGCTCACATTCACAGAGGAGTGTAATGTTGTGATCCCACACGGATAAACATGTATACACCATCAGGTGCCTCAGTCTCCACATATACCTGTGTCAGGTGTTGAGACGGTGAGAACTGTGGTTGACCACTCAGATCAACACAGAGACAGACACTTAACCCTTAAACTGCGCAAATCATATATATATGATTTCAGTGACAAAACTGAAACCGTGCACATCATATATATATGGTTTAGTGTCTAGCGCTATAATTTAAACACCCCGCCTGGGATAGGGGCAGCTATAGTGCAGCCACGACCGATTGTTGCCAGATGCCACCTAGAAAAAAAATTCAGGCCAACATTCTTGGGTGTAAGAGCTTCAGTATTGAGCAAGCCACCAAGGCTGGTGCACGCAGCACGGGCTCACAGCATCGCTGTTCAGCTTGTGACCACAGCATCGCCTAAAAATGCCATAATATATAAGATACTGCTATTATTTAGCGATGATAATATTACAGAAGACCCCTGACTGTGATAAAACTGACCACAATTCTGATAATAGCAGGATTGTGGTGATATTTAGTGCTGTGCTCCATGGAGGGAGGTGTAATGCAGTGGGAGGAAGGGTGGTGGCATCGTCTTCTGTGTAGCCACCTTTTATTGACTGCACTCACCATACCAGCTTAGTGGTTCGCTATGGTGAACACAAATATAGATACTTATATATAACATGTGCATTGAGTGTAATAACAGCAAGAAGAGTAGGTTGGAAGCCGCCATTTTGGCGAGGGAGGTGCATCGTCTGCATGACTTGTCATGTTTACTGGT